ACACATAAAAACTTATTCATTAATTCAAGGTGAAAAATTAGCAATTGCTCATCATCCTGTTAATATGAAAGAAAAAAATATTTCCAAGGAAGATATTAAAAAAAATTATGGTTTATCAAGTTATCCAAATGAATGGACAATATTTGAAGTTGGAAAATTTATCTCACATTTAACTGATGATACAATTGCTAATGTCTTTTGTAAGTTTCATATCAATGGTAAAGCATTATTACTACTAACAAAAGAAATATTACGTGATGATATGAAAATTCATGTAGGACCATCAATAATAATATTGAATGAAATATCAAAATTACATTAATATGGACAAATTAAATTCTTAATTGAATTATATTTTTCTTTTTCTTGTTGTTGTTAATCTCTTAATTATTATGTAGTTTTTCTTAAAAGTATAAGAATAAATATGATAAATCAAAAATATTTAAGTTATTTAATACTATAATAGAATCAAAATATGTTGAGAAGCTCATTTATTTATAAATTGAATATGACTTTTGTTTTTTGTTAGTAGAATATAAATAAATTGTCCAATGAATAATGTTTCCATGAGCAGACTCTATTATCAATATTATAAATAGAAAAGAAGATATCAACAAAGCACTATGTATGTATATTGAAAGAACGTCACTTATTATTATGAACGATATTATCTTGATGATTTATATTGCAATACAAAATAGTACGAAGACTTATTCGAATTATTAGATTTCTCTTCTAGAATTGAGTTTCATTCATTTCATATTTTACTAGAAACTTCAGTCTATATTTTATAAAGAGTCAACTGACCATTCTTAACCGACTACATCACGATGATACTTGTCACTTATCTAGTCTTTATTCCAAGGAAGAAACGTCGTGCTTTGTATTTGAGATCAGTTTGAGCTACTTGAAAATATTTCTCAGTTATTTTAAATCAGTTTATTGTACTTTAAACTACTTTTCACGTAATTTTACCGTAGATTTTTGTCGTTGAAGCCTGCCGCTATCCTCGTCCCCTACCTACATATCATATGAGTAACTTTTTTAGTCCTTTATAGACATCCTATTAATAGTTTTTTCAAGGTCTATCTGTACACAGTACCTAATATTTTTTAAGTTCTACATGGACTAGATCTGGAACAGCTCACAGTTCTATGCACCGCATTTTTCTTTCGAGACCTGAATGCAATGATCAGCTCTTTTTTTAAGAAGTGGGTCAAGTCACTAGTTTGTGTGTCACGTAACTCGTGTTAGAAACGATGTGTTTTAATCATTTGCATCCACTGAATGATGTAGACAAAATAAAAATAAAATATTTATATCTCAAAATGTGTCAAAAAAGAAAAGGTAATAAAAAGAATTCTGTTTTTTGAAATCTACTTACGTTAGCATTTTTTGTGACATTGGTATCTCTTCAAGTATGGACTCGTTTCTATTGAAAATTTTACTGTAAAGTTAACCTATACTTACAATGTATATGAAAAATCTCCATTTTTTAAATTTTTGTGCAAATATAGTTTGACTGAACCGATCATGATATAGAACTGAATTTTTGACTATAGAAATATTTTATTGAGCAATAACGCTGATAAATAGTACAGTTCTCTCCCTTATTCCAATGACCAAGAGCAACCTTGTCAAAATCACGATTTTGGAAGGGACCAATCTAGAACAAACACAAATCTACAGAAGTTTTAAACTACATGCTTAATACTGTAAATTCTGTTATGTCTTCATTTCTATTCTCTTTATTTTACTCTCATATTATTACGCTCTGTTATCTCCGAGACAGCAACATGATGGTATGATAACAGAACGGAACAAAAGAACACTCCTCCCGAGGAGGATCGAACTCATGTCCTCTACTTTCCGGGTAGCTGTATTACTACTGTACTAGAAAGGAGTGTTTATTATTCGTTTCGTTCCGTCTTATGACTGATGGGGAACACTTCAGTTCATAAGAAATTCATGCAAGAATTGATATGGAAAGTTGTATAATAGTGTACAGAGCCTTATTCGAAGATGAGTCGAAAAACAGTCTTATTTTAACATTATATCCTATATTCATACAAGACTTCATCATTTTCAAAAATGCAAATCAAAACATCGTTCGGTAGACAGGCTCGTTGTTTCTGTACAGAGCATGCCTACCGGAGGCACTTTCTATAACGGTTTCCAATAATGAGTCTCATGCAACAAGCGAAATAACACAATAATCGATCAAATTATCATCAGCAAAGTATAAATATGCCTTAAAAGAAGCCTTACACCCAAACCTTCAAGATTTCTTTACCAATGAAATACTTTTTGTAGTGTACTCAAAAAGTGAATACACTACTAAAATCGATCTGTGTGTCCGTCCGGCCGTTTACTTGATAACTTTCGAAAGGAGAGTCAGATTGCGATGAAATTTTCTACGCAGCTTGATCTTGACAATATCTCGGTCGAGTGCGAAGATGAGAAGGATCCGCCAAGAAATGGCTGAGTTATCGAAAAAATTGTGATTTTTGACCAGACCATCCCTGAGGGGGGGGGGGTACAGGGATTTTTTCAAAAAAAAAATT